ACGGTCTGCCCCTCTGGCATGGCTCCCAGCTTGCGCTTGATGCCACCATCGTCTCCCCGCTGACGAGACGCGGCGAAGCCCACCCGCGCGCCGACGTCCAGCCGGGCTGCGCTGTCGCTGCCGCAGCGCGGCGCAAGCGGTGCCAGACGTACCCTGAACTTGGCCGCGCCCGTCGCTGTCGGTTAGTCGTTGTCGGCATCGAGACCGGCGGCGGGTTCGGCACCGAAGCAGTACAGCTCCTGCGCCTCCTCGCCCGCCATCGCGCGGCCTCCGTTCCAGCCCACCTGCGACCGGCCGCCATCACGTCCTGGGTCGCCCGCTGGTCCGGACTGCTCGCCGTTGCGGCCCAGCGCGCCTACGCCGCCACACTCCTCGAGCTGCCCCCCGCGGCCGAGTTGGGCGAAGGACACATGCCCGATTTGCATGAGGTCCTCGCCGATGCGCGCTGGGACTGATGCAAGCTGTGCTCCCGCGGCCGGTGGTCCTGCCTGGACCGCGCCCACCCGCCCTCCTTATGGTAGGCTGCCTGCCGCTAGTAGGCTGACGACAGACTCTTCTCTGCAGGCGCGAAAAGGCGCTTAAAAAAAAAAGCTGTCGCCATCTTGATCTTGCGTTTTGCAGAAGATGGGGCAGCAGGGGTGGTTCCGGCAGCTAAACTAGTGGCAGCTTGCGATGTAATGGACTGTGCGGTGCCTGCGACGAGAAGGCATGTCCTACCAAACAATCCACCTTGACAGCGCTGTGCAAAAGTCGGTTCGACAGAAGCATCGGCCCCCAAGCGCCAGCGTCGTAACATATCACTGTAATCACTTTCTGTAGAAATGCCAACAACACGTGGGTGTTCTGAGCCATCTAGGCCTAACAGAGCAAAGAGGGATCCGCGGGCAGTTGCTCTATCAGCAGCAGTACCGCCCAAACCGCACCACGTAGCAACGTGGCCAACATTACGGAACCCTTGAAGCTCAGTGTCACTCGGATCAAGTGCCATAGACCTGAAGGCTCAGCGATGTCGACATGCCCAGGCCTATCAAATTTTCTGATGGCTTTGTGGGCACTTGACCCAAAATGGCATACAGTACACCACCTCCGTCAATGTGCTTGCTGTGCTGTTCTCGCTCACATAAATGTCCGCTATGGAAAAGCGGCGTTGGCAAGGGGGTGTCCCAAGCAGACGCACGGAAGCCTGGTTGACGAGATGCGTTGCAGCCTGGGCCGCTGCTGCGACGCGACCTCAGGGTCAGCGAGCAAGGCGAGGGGCTGTACGATGCCTTCCGCGCCACTCTGTGGCGACATGCCCGTGTTGAGCTCAACCGTCAAGCTTGACCCGTGCATGGAATGCGGTTGGGGAGCAGACGCTTCTGCGCCTGCCCACGTTGCCCTGTGCTGCGGCACACGACGGCGCAGTTGACGGGTGCTTGTCTGCCTTGCTCGGCTTTGCGGACGCCCCGCTGCCTGAAGCTTCTACCCGCAGCGCCCGTCTGTCGCTGCAATATGCTGGGCTGCATGAGAGCGGCCTTGCTCGACCGGCACCCTGCATACGGGGCTTCCTGCTCGTTCCCTGTCAAGCAGGCAACGACACAAGTGTCGTCAAGGAACACGAGGATGGCCTCTCTTTATCGCAGCTGTGCTTGGACGTCGTCGGTCCAGGTGCCGCGCCAGGAGGCGCAAGAATTGCATAACTTCGGCGCAGAACCTGCCGCTAGCTTCGGTACCAACGACGACGAGGCGGCATCTCCGGGCATGGCCGAGCTCCGGATACGTGTTGTTGCGTTTGCGCCAGGCCGCATGGATTGCGCTGTCCCGCTGCACATCAACGCAAGGGTGGGCCTGGCCTTGCCGCGTGAGGGGGGGCACAATTGTGGCATCAATGGCTTGCTGAGACCCATGCCGCAGCCCGTTGGCAACGACCTCGATGCGCCGGCACATCGAGGTTCATGTCGGCCAACCGGATGTTACGGGCGACCTGCGCCGGCTTCCTGGCAGACGCGCGCGAAAGCATGCTCGAGAGGCAGGGCGCGCGTCGACAGTACCCCTGAAGTGGCGCAAGCGGCACGATGATCGCTCAGGGAATCGAGCTGCCCCTGGCAGGCGCATCTGCGAGCGGCAGGGGCACGCGCAGGCGCCGAAGTGTCACAGCTACTACACTGCGCCAGCGCACCCACCGGCACCTCTTGGTCGTCGGTTGGGTCGCTGGGCCCTGCGATGAACAGCTCGCGGAGCCAGCAGGCGTGCGCCCGGAGCGCTGCGAGGAGGCAAAGGCTTTCCGGCGCTGGTTCTAAGCTTGTCGAGCGGCTGCAGCGCATCACGGCGCCCGCTGGCGAGCCCTCGCCCGCGCGAGCAGTCGCAAAAACGTCAGGGTGCCGCACCTGACCCGCCCGCCAACTTCCACGCCGAAGACGACCAGGCGGCAGCGCCGAGCTTGCCGCAGCTCACGGTAAACTCGGTGTTTGCGGTCGACTGCTCGGTTTAGGGCGAGGCCCGGTTGATGGTCAGCCCGTGGGCGGGGCGATTGCGAAACACCAAACCCCCAAACAGGTGACAGCCTCCCCATCGAAAGATACATCCAACACCACGTAAGTGCTTCCGACCCCGAGATCCAACAGGATATACTGGGTGGCAAACCCAACACGTCTGAACGACATGATGGTGGGCAAGCACTTGCCTCAACAAACACAAATGGTTCCCAGACTGTCGAGATTCACATGCACCAATGTTGGCCGGAGAACACTACGCAAGCCAAGAATCCTGAAACAACCGTCTATACGGTCACCATGTACACGTGAACATTAGCTTAGCTTAGGCTGTGAGGAACTAGGCATCCCTTGCCCTCAGACAGGTGAAAGTCAGTCTCGCGGAGATGCTGTCAAACAGAATCGTGAACAGCAACGGGTCTAAAACAGTTCCTCGAGCTCCAACATCTGCAAACCATGGTGCAACCCAGCAGGCATTAATCGAACCCTGAGCTGACGTCTCAGTGAACAGATCATCCAAAACCTTCCACATCACACCTGTAATAACCGCCCCGGTGTGTCCTTGGGAAGTGGGCCGACTGCTCCAAGGGTGACGTTATTACTCTGCGCCGACGACTAGGTCATGAGTTTTGGACGAGTATCAAGGTTTTTCTTGGGATTGGGCTGACAAAACTGCTGTGCTTGTGGTTGGTTCACGGCCTCGCGACCATCATTTCACATTGCAAGGCCATTCTGTGCCATGTGTGTCTTAATATTGCTATTTGGGTGTTATTTTCCAGTCATACAGGAAATGGAGCAAGCATTGTGATCGCCTTCTTGAAAGATGCGCTGGCAAGTTTCATCGATCAAGTTCTGCCTTCCGTGTTGTATGGCTCGCACTTCATTGGGCCGTCCTCCCTCAAGAAGCTGGAGAGGAAGCTACGTCAATTTGGGGCTGTATGTCGCCTTTGCTCGCAGTGTCCATCGGAGCTTGGCGGCCCGTGCTTTTGAGGTTGCTGGGACCCTTGATGATTTTTGGGCTTGACATGTCGCGTTTGGGTATTCCCCATCCTGCTTCGTGCGGTATTGGGCCTGGAGGTGACCCAAAAACTGTTCACAAATAGAAGCGCAGTTATGTAAATCCAGCTCTGTGTCGCAATTCTTGCAAGCTGTTCTGCGAGGAATGTGCGGCAGTGCCGTCACTGTGGCACAGTCGAGGATGCCACGTGCACGAAGAGTTCCGATCTTTCGTGCACGGGTCTCGTTGATGCCCATCTGTGGAGAGGAAATGGCCGTTGGCGAAATGGGGTCATCATCGCAGGGCGGGCCGCACGCAGCACGGCTTTCCCATTGTCTACGCAGTTGAGGGTACCGTCGCCGTGTTTTTCGGTGTTTTGCTACTGCGCCGGCTCCACCTGCCGTCACCTGCCGTGGACGCCTTGACCCATTCGGCGACCACAGGGCGGCATGTGCGACCTCCGGTGTACCCGCAATTTTTGCCGAGCGGACATGAACATCGACATTCCGGTCTCCGATGACCGCCGAACGGGTTCTCCATGTCGCATGGCTCGCAGCAAACTGTTGGTGCCATCATCGTCAGCCCCGTCATGCGGGCAGGAGCTGCCCAGCTTGGCGCAGACGCGCATACCGGTCGAGCCGTTGAAGGAGCAGCTCGAGGCAAGCGCGACCAGACCTACCCGCTCCGTAGTGTTCGGCGTTGAGGTTGGGGGCCGGTGTGGTGCGGAGGCTGCCAAAAAAAAAAAGTTTCAAAAGCGCTTATCGCCTCAACGGCGGCCAGCAGGAGTCGGCTGACGGCTTCATTGCCCGCAGGCGTAGAGAGCCCGTACTGGTGAGGCATGCACACCTCTTAGAGCCGGGAGACTGCCGGGCGAGGCAGCGGCCAACGAAACGGCGCAACACGTCCCAACTTGATTCGGTCATGTGCAAGGACATCGGGCGTAGCTGGCGAAATTCACTTGGTCCTTGCCTGGAAATTGTGGTTGTTCTTGCCTTTTACACGCTCCTGCATCGGTCCGCAGGTGGAGCTCGAGTTCAGAAAGCGGTTCCAATCGGTCATGCAGAGTGATTGGGCAACTTTGTTTCAAGATGCCTTGGCTCGTGAGCCCCCGGATTCGACAAACCGACGTGCACCCGAGGTGCCCGATGATGACGCCTGTGCACCGGCACTCAGCTCACCTTGGAGATCAGCCCCGGGCTCCTGGGATTCACGGTTGAAGTCGTGCGCGTCGTGCGGACGCCAACGACTCCACACAAACGTGTGCTCGCTCCTGGTACAGGCGCATGTCCCCGATGACATTCGAGCGGCCCTGGGACTTGGGCGGGTGGTTGCGCTCCGCATCGCTAGCCCACCGGCGGCACCCATGGTTTAGTCGTTGGTGATTTCTTCTGGCGCCTCATCGCACGTACACTGTGAGGAAATCCCAGGCGGTCTCTAAGCTTCACACAGCTTCAGCACTCGCGCACACAGCTTTTCACTGCATTGCCTGAGATGTCCAAACTGCGTAACCTGGTCAAGGGGCCCCTTTGAGAGGTAAGGGCCGACGGCACCTCTGCTTTACAACTGTCCTTCCAGGAAGAGCTCACACTATACAAATCACAGCTCCCCAAACTCTGTTTCTGGAAGACAGTAAACTCTACCGTATGTTGTAGCCTCTCTGGTCGCGCTCGGCTTTCTTGTCTTTGAGGGCTTGAGCTTCCTCCACGATCTGAAACTCTCCGGAGTCCAGCAGGTCGTACAGAGCCTCCATGTTTCCACCCTTTTTCGTCAAGGCATCCATAGCCCATAGCCATGTGGGGGTGGGGAATCCATCTGATCTTGCCGTTGATGGCATTCATGTTCTGACGAACCACTTGGATTTCCAAACTCGTTCGCTTGGCTTGCGAGGGTCCCACACTTTCTCGAGACAGGTGGTCGTAGAGAGCCTTGGCGTCGATTATGCAAATGGCCTTCTTGAACTCTGTAGAGACGCTGTCCGGGGCCATCGCCAACACCTTGTTGTTCTCCATCTCTGTCTCCCAGTTCTCGATCTTGAAGTGCGGATTCATTATCTCGTTGAAAACACTCTTGATCCAACACAACTCTCCAAGACCCTTTGAAAGGCTCTGCGTCTCAGCCGCCAGGGTTGAGTTCACGACTCGTTGAATCCTTCCGCTTCTCCATGTGACCAAGGAGCATGGTACACGGTAGCCCTTTTGAAGATCTTCATGAAAGGCTAAAACTCCATAGGCTCCCTGACTCTTCCCATCTCCAGCGTTGTCGAAGGAGGCATCTGTCATGACACCCCATGCCAGCTTGTCCGCAGGAATAGAGCGAATCTTTATGTTGAGGTCCGGCCTCGACTTGATCATCTGAATGGATTTGTTTAGATCAATCAAATCCTGCACCACTGGCTTTGGAAACTTCAAAGCACTCAGGGATGCCGAAGCAGAAGCATCTGGCCTTTCTTCTCTTGAAGCCCAGTTGAGACTCCCAACCACAGCTCGCATCTGAGCAATCTCGGAGTCTGTCGCAAGCGCCTTCGGATTGCTCTTTCTCCCTTTTGCCATCTGGATTGGTTCCAGTCTCTCCGTGACAAACTTCTCCATGTCAACCACAAAGCTGTAATCTTTGAGTTGTCGGATTCGGCGACCGTTGAAGCCGACACCGTTCTTGGCAGGAGGGATCATTTCGAATTTACTGAACTTATACTTCTCTTGTAGCTGCTTCATGCGATCATAGCGGAGCTTGCTTCCGAAATTGAACAAATCGTCAACTTCCACTGCTATGGCCCGCACGCTCTCCTTGTAGCCCAAAGCCAATATACTCTCCTTCAGTGATCGTCGCCAGTGCATCGGCGCGTCAGGAAGTCCATAGCAGCCGACCAGGATCTGAATCAGCTGATCTTGGTGTAGTCCAGCGATTCCCCCCTTTGGGAGAGTCGCATAGATAGGTCCGCCTTCACGGTTGAGAGGAAGACTTTGACAAAACGCATTTTTCAAGTCTCCTACCGAAGCTTCGTAGCGAAGTGTGGCGCATGCCTGAAGCAACACTCCAAACGTGGCACTGCACAAAGTAGGCGAAAACCTTTCTAGCGACAGTGGATCCGGATCTTTGTCTCCCCTCAAGCACCATCTGCTTTTCCGTGTTGCCGGCTCGCCCGGCTGTTCTGCCGGTTTCATCCGACGAACCATTCTGGAGGGAATGATCTGATTTGATTTCCCGGACTTCTCGAACTCCTTCCTCACCTTCTGAGACTCCGACAAACTCAACACACGAATAGCTCCAGTGCTTGCGACCTTATTCCATTCTTGTAGATCCGTCTCTCTCCAGCCTTCACGCTCCTCGGGCTTAATCTCGTGGTCGAAGATCTCTCCTTGACCTCTTGGCTTGCCTCCAGCGAAAGCCTCCAGGTCCACCGGCTTGTTGCAGAAGGCCGTAAATCCTGTCCAGCTCGTCTTCGACTTCCTTCCCTTCTTGCCTTTGCGCACCCAGTTGTCTTGCGAAGTATGCACGTTCCCCATTTCATCCACCATGTAGTTGCAGCGGTACTTCAGCCTTCTTGGCATCAGAGCTCCTCCGACTTTGTTGGGATGACATAGTTCTTGGCGAGGTTGGGCATGTATCCTGATGATAACATCCTTGCTAACTTCTTCCCAATTGTCTGACTCACATCGCCAACCTTGCTCGTCAAGGGAGTACCAGGCCTCTGCGTCGCCAACATTCGCCTTCTGGATGAAGTAGGGGCGTTGTTCCTCAACTCGGTAACGATGTAGCCTTCGAGCCGCCTCGTATGGAGGACTCCCTGGTGGGTTTCCATCCATCCTTTCGTTCCGCATCACCTGGGCCGCTGTATTCACTGGGTTAGGACTCAACATGGGAGGCGGCGGCATACTCTCTGGAGGCCTCGATCCAATTGAAGCCTCCCGAGTCATAGCTTCTGATGGAGTTGGCATTGGCTCGGGTTCATGTTCCGAGTTTTGTCGCTCCTGCATTTGGTTTCTCCCATTTCGGTCCAGGAATTGCTCAAGGGTCTCTGGCAGGTTGGGAGGTTCTCGAAGCATCTCTTCCAGGTCTTCGTCTGGTACTTCAGAACCTGGAACTGGAACTTGAGCGGGATCACTAGGGCGAGGTCGTTGAGCTGGACGTTCATCACCTCCTCCATACTCTGCTGGTGGATTTTGCTCATCCTGCTCTTCTTGGAATCTCTCCTCGGTCATGTCCTGGTAAGACCTCTTAGTAGACCTGCCGAGATCCTCCTTGAGAGCTTCCAGCTCGCCGCTGAGCATTTCTTTCGCGAATTGCTCTTCGCTTGTCGCTGCCCTGCACTGCTCCATGCTCACTTTCCAGAGTTCGCCTTTCATCGAAACCCAAACATTGGGTCCTTCTACTGACAGCACGATTCCTGGGCCAGTCCACGTAGGCTTTCTTCCTTCATGTGACTCTGGGGTCATGGCGTGTTTTCTCTTCCTTTCCCTTGGCTATCTGTAGACGTACACAGTCTAGCCAGGAAAGAAGCTGAGGGGAGTCCTCGTCCCAGCATGTCTTGCCTTGGCACTGTCATCCATCACCACCAGAACCTTTGAGGGATCTGACGTCCTCAAAGACAACCAAACAGACTCTTGACGAAGCGGATCCAAAGTGGCCGTCGCTCCATCTTCAAATTCTGGTAAACTCGAAAACAAACTTTGTGAAACCAACCTCAGCACCGTTTCTTGCGATGGCTCCGGCTTGGGCTTGGTCAGCCGGTCGATGGCCTTGCTGACTCGCTTCCTCTCTCCATGAGTGAGGGCCTTTGATTTTCCGTAGTCTTCACTCCAAAACTCCATGTTGTCAACATCCTGGAACATGATCGCAATTGAAGTTCCTCCCGTAAGTCTCTTAGGAAGCCAACCATCCCGGCTCTCCCACGTACCTGTTGACTCATCCCGAACATAGTAGCCCCAAGCCATTGACATATTCCACGGTGCTGCATCACTATGCCGACCAAATGTCCGCATCTGCAACTGCCTGGCCGTCAGCAGCTGCACCTCAGAGCTTATACCACAAACCTGCTCTGGGCCTGTTCCGGGCGGAAGGCCCGTCATGGGTAATTCCCGTTGACCATACTGAAGCCCTCCATCTGTGCAGAGCTCGCCGCTTGAATTTGTGACAGGAAACCCTGCATCCACGCTTTTTTTTTTTCACGCACCTTTTTGACGACCGCAAAACGAGACGTCCGGGTCCCTGTGCTACCTGCACACTACGGGCCAAGGAAGCTTGGGGT